TCTCCTTGCTTCGGTTTTGTTCCTAAGCATTTGCATCTCATTCTCCTGCATCATTGGTTGTTGCATTGCATGGTGATGCATAATTAAACTCTCTTGAAAGTGATTGTAACCAATTACCAAAATGGGGGAGATTGAAAGGACATGCGGTGCCCCCATGTGTGGTTTTGGTAATTGATGACATTCTCTATGGACTAATGCTTGCATTGAATTATATTTGAAGGATTTGTCCATAGGCATATCTTGAAGTCCATGTGTTGGTTTCAAGGAGTTTATGTGTGGACCAAGGTGCTATTAAGGAATTATCCAAAGATTGGTCATGTGAGTGTTGAGCTTATTGCAAGCATGTCTTGAAGAAGAAGATGGTGTGATCATTCATGTATACCTTCAAGACATCATCCAAATGAAGAGAGCTGGAAAGATTCAAGGTTGATCAATACTATGTACAAAGAGTTATTCAAGTTGATCAACACACAAAGAGTAGAAGATGTACCAAGTGGGATCAAGTGATCTCATGGTATGGTATGTTTCCATGGGCTTGCATCAAGAGGAATATATCATACAACCCATGGAGAGGATGACATCAAGTGGTGATCGTCATCAGGATTGTGGTATGCAAGTTCAAGTGGAGCATCACGAAGAGATCATCCTTGAAGCTTGATGTCCATTGTGGTGTCAATGGACTTGTGAAGATGTGCCAAAGAGTGGCTCACCCATAGTGGAGTATGGGGGAGCAATCAACTAGTCTTCATTGAGCCAACGCAATCAAGATAGGTGGTCCAACTTGAGGGAGTCAAGATCGTCATCATCTAGATCAAGTGGACTATGTGCAAGGCAAAGGTTTGCCCTTGATAGGTTTTATATTTTACCGGTCTCATGGTGGTAGTTGAGAGACCAGGTTATAGGATCAATTGCCATACTATCAAGGGGGGCTCTCGATGAGTAGCTTGATCGTATCATTCGTAGAGAGCTCAAACCATTGCATCCTTGCATCATATTTATTGGTTCTTCTCCTTGTGAGATTTGGAGCTTATGGTCATTTTCATGACAAGCTCGATTTCATCGAAAACGGAGTTCACGTGCATCTTCTATGATGTTTTCGATGTTGGAGGTTATGTCGGTTCTTCTATTTTGGAGGTTTCACTCCTCTATTTCTCAAGCATACCTCCCCTACCTCTTCTTGCTATAATCACTCGTTGTTGGATGCTACTCGTTGTCATCTATCCAACAAGCTTGAGTTTGCTCAATTCGGAGCTCATATGTAGAAGTTGTGGCAGTTTAGGCTTTATTGCATCCTCTATTTTCTCTATTGTGTTCTTGAAAGCCTCAAGCGGTAGTACTGCTCTCTAGACCGGTACTACCGCTTGTAAGCGGCAGTACCGCGGCCCTGTGCCGTGCGTAGTACCGCTGCTTCTGGGGATGCGCCTTTTTCGTGTCGAGTTTTGCAGTAGTAGAGCGGTAGTACCTCTTATAAGCGGTAAGTGGTACTACCTCTCCACCCGAGCGGTAGTACCTCTTATATGCGATGAGCGGTACTACCTCTCCACCCGAGCGGTAGTACCTCTTATAAGCAGTAAGCGGTACTACCTCTCCCCAGAGCGGTACTACCTCTCTGGCAGAACTACAGCTCATGTTTTTCTCTCTCGTTAGGTTGTTTTGACCGTGCTAAGCGGTAGTACCGCTCCTCCAAGCGGTAGTACCGCTAGTACGCAACCTGAGCACATAACGGTTGGATTCAGGAGTTCTATAAAAGGGGGTCTTCTTCCCCATTGAACCTTATCTCTTGAGCTCGTGTTCTTCCCCCATTGTTGACCTTCTTCGAGCTTGCTAACTCTCAATCCCTCCATTGATTCTTGCTAGTTTTGGGGGGAAAGGAGAGAGGAGATCTAGATCCACATTTCCACCAATCATTTTCTCCTCTATCTGAGGGGAACCCCTTGGATCTAGATCTTGGAGTTCTTGGTGTTATCCTTCTTGTTCTTCCTCTTATTTTCCTCCCTAGCATTAGTTGCTTTGGTGGGATATGGGGGAGAAGGACTTGGGCACTCCGTGTGCCCTTGCCGTTGCATTTGGTTCATTGGTTTGAGTTCTCCATAGTGATACGTGGAAGTTACAAGTTGAGAAGCTTATTACTCTTGGGTGCTTGGTACCCTTGAGCTTGTTCCTCTTGGGTGCTTGGGCGCCCTAGACGGTTGGTGGTGTTTGGAGCTCAATCATTATGGTGTAAAGCTCCGAGCAAGCATCGGTGTCTCCAATTAGGTCGTGGAGATCGCCCCGAGAAATTTGCCGGGTTCCGGTGACCGCCCCCAAGGGTTGCCAAAGTGTACGGGTTCGGTGACCGCCCCCAAGGGTTGCCATTTATACGGGTTCGGTGACCGCCATCAAGGGTCCCTTAGTGGAATCACGGCATCTTGCATTGTGCGAGGGCGTGAGGAGATTACGGTGGCCCTAGTGGCTTCTTGGGGAGCATTGTGCCTCCACACTGCTCCAAACGGAGATTAGCATCCGCAAGGGTGTGAACTTCGGGATACATCGTCGTCTCCGCGTGCCTCGGTTATCTCTTACTCGAGCCCTTTACTTATGCACTTTACTTTGTGATAGCCATATTGTTTCTTGTCATATATCTTGCTATCACCTATTAGTTTATATTGCTTAGCATAAGTTGTTGGTGCACATAGGTGAGCCTAGTTGTTGTAGGTTTGGTGCTTGACAAATTAACCACTAGGTTTATTCCGCATTTGTTCAAGCCTAAACCGTAATTATTTTAAAGCGCCTATGCACCCCCCCCCCTCCACCCTCTAGGCGACATCCACGATCTTTCAATCACAAGCACTGAAGCACCAAGCATGCAGGGGGCTCCAGGGAAATGATCTAAGTTAGAAGTGAATGTTTCGTGTTTGTTTGATCTTACTAGAAAAGTACCATCATGTATACTCCCCGTTTTCTAAGATGGAATACGTACGGTGACAATAATTGTGTCATTTTTCATATTATCTTTTTATGATTGCAATCTCATCTGTATATCTCTCTTGCTTTAAATTAAGTATAATTGTAAACAATAAAAACAACATATTCAAACACAACTCATCGATGGGGCGCGGCGTGCCGCCGCGCGGGGCATGGCTAGTAAATTTCTAGACCAACCTAATAGACTTTTGTTGATAGAACTGGTTGCAAGAGGCATTTTTTTGCGAGAAAACTTTCAATCTATTCATCTTCTATCACGGCAGTACAACAAACACTAGAAATAATAAAATTTACATCTAGATCCGTAGACCACCTAGCGACGACTACAATCACTGAAACGAGCCGAAGGCGCGTCGCCGTCATCACCCCTCCCTCACCGGAGAGTCGGCCAGAACTTGTTGTAATAGACAGTCGGGAAGTTGTCGTGCTAAGACCCCGTAGGACCAGCGCACAAGAACAGCAACCGTCGCTGATGAAGAATAACGTAGATCGAAAGGATCCAACCGGAAAACACACGAACATAGACGAACCACAACCAGATCCGAGCAAATCCACCAAGGATAGATCCGCCGGAGACACACCTCCATACGCCCACCAACGATGCTAGACGCACCACCGGAACGGGGACTAGGCGGGGAGACCGTTATTCCATCTTCAGGGAGCCGCCGCCGTCTCGTCTTCCTGGGTAGGACACAAACCCTAACAAATTTTGAAGGAACAACTAACAACAGAGCCCTCCCGCCGGCCCTTGCCAGGATCCACCATGCCCCCATGGCCCTAGGGCCACCGGAGACGAGGCGGACCTGCGGCGGAGCCGGCGAGAGGCACGAACCCTAGCTTTTCTTGGAGGAGGAGGTGGCGGCTAGAAAGAGGCATTGACAGATGTATTGGCTGATCATGGCATGCAAAATTGATTGAGAGAATAATTTAGATTTGAATGATTTTTTTTGAAATAGCAGACACATGCTTCATCTATCTATATAGTGCATACAGTAAAGAATATTGTAAATCTGGTTTTGCACCGTCAAGAAATTTATATTTGGACATTTCTAACTAGAAGCACAAATAAGTCAGGTGGTTTTTGCTCTTGGCGGGAAGAGTAAATAAATTTCTCCTAATAGACTTTTTGTTGATAGAGTTGGTTGCAAGAGACATTGCCAGATGCATTGGCTGATCATGGCATGCAAAATTGATTGAGAGAACAATTTAGATTTGAATGATTTTTTTTAAATAGCAGAACATGCTCCGTCTATCTATATAGTGCATATTTCAAGAGCAGCAAGTAAAACTGTGTAAATGTCTTTTAAAGAAAGTAAATGTGTGTAATGTGCGAGACAATAAAAAAAACAAAATATGTGAAAAAAATAAGGTCCCACCGAGACTTGAACTCGGGTTACTGGATTCAGAGTCCAATGTCCTAACCACTAGACCATGGGACCATTTCTGTCGTTGGCCCTAAATTCGTCCTACTTATGTATTTCTTGCACGTGAAAAAACAAAAAACAAATATGCTTTCATTGAGAGTTGAACTCAAGACCTCCCGCTTACTAAACGGGTGCTCTAACCAACTGAGCTATGAAAGCGTCGATGCCTTCAATCTTTTGTTCTACAATAAATCAGTACCTCTCTCCCTCTCTCTGACGACAATCGCTTCGCACGCCCCGTGACGGTATGATCAACAGGTCAATATTAAGATTCGAAATCACGGCGTGTAGAAATCATTCCTTCTTCTTCCTTTTTTTCGAAGGCGCGTACTGTATACTGGTATCACCGTGCTCACGGAGAACATGTTGCAGGTGAATTTTGTTCCGAGCACACCCTTGGCCGTCCCCGACGAGACCGACACGGCGTCCAAGAGGCGCCGCATCTGGCCGGTAGAGGCGCTCAGTAGCAAGCGCTAGCCGGACGTTGGCGGCCGGCGCGTTCCCGTCGCGGTGAGGCGAGCGCGTCCGTCAGCCTAACGAAATTGGCAGTTCGGTCCAGCTTCGTCGCCACCGGACGAGCTTCTTGGATACGGTACTCCACTAGTGGAGTGGATGACACGCACGTACGTCAACCACCTCCCGCGCCACGTGGAAAGCTCCCCGATTCCTCCGCGCAGCTTATCGATCCCATTCCCAGATCGTCTCCACTCCGCTCACCGGAGTCAAGCAAGCGCCGCCATGCATCGGCCCCGCCGTCTTCCGCTGCTGCTCATCCTCCTCGGCCTCCTCCCGGCCGTCGCGCGGGCGCTGCTCCCGCCGCCCCGCTTCCCGGGCCCCCACGCGCGGCCGCGGCCGCGGGCCGGGACGGGAGACGGGGTCGGCGGGGGCTACGAGTTCGAGACCCGCTACTTCCGGCAGCGGCTGGACCACTTCAGCTTCTCGGGCGAGGAGGAGTTCTTCCAGCAGCGGTACCTCGTGGGCCGCGCCGGCGCCGGCGGGTGGGCGGGCCCCGGCGGGCCCATCTTCTTCTACTGCGGCAACGAGGGCGACATCGCCTGGTTCGCCGCCAACTCCGGCCTCGTCTGGGACGCCGCCCCGCGCTTCGCCGCCCTCGTCGTCTTCGCCGAGGTAACCAGTACCCTGCAACCTGCACTCGTCATGTTCCACGTTAACTGTCCGGCCTTTGGTTTTTGAACTTTTGATCCGGTTGCTGCAGCATCGCTACTACGGCGAGTCCATGCCGTTCGGCAGCAAAGACAAGGCCTACAACAATTCCAGGTCCATGGCGTACCTGACGGCCGAGCAAGCGCTCGCTGACTACGCCGTGCTGCTCACCGACCTCAAGAGGAACCTGTCCTCGGAAAGCAGCCCCGTGGTGCTCTTCGGGGGCTCATACGGTGGAAGTAAGTGCCGCTAGTATCTTCAGTTATCGTTGGGCTTCTATTCTGTACTGTACTGATTTTGTTCACTGGGCATTCAGTGCTTGCTGCTTGGATGAGACTCAAGTACCCGCATATTGCTGTCGGGGCTCTCGCGTCGTCGGCTCCGATCCTACAGTTTGAGGACATTGTACCTGACACCATATTCTACGATCTTGTTTCAAATGGTTTTAAGGTGTGTGACTGCATAATATTGGCTTGATTTTATTGTTCTGAATAAAGGAACACTAGTTTTTCATTGTTTTGGAAACAGGACACAAGTGACACTAGTTTTTTCTTTGTGTTTAGAGGGAGAGTTTAAGCTGCTTCCAAACAATAAAGGACTCATGGAAAGAATTAGATGAGCAGGGAAATGGGCAAGATGGTCTTCTGAAACTAAGCAAAACATTCCACCTTTGCCAGTGAGTTTCCTCTCCATTCACTCCATCTTTTTCATTAAGATTGCTTGCAATGATAATATGCATGAATGCTGCAGGACCCTGAATACCACGGGGGCCCTTTCGGATTGGTTGAGCTCAGCATACAGTTATCTGGCCATGGTGGATTACCCAATGCCGTCAGAGTTTCTCATGCCTTTGCCTGCCAACCCAATTAAGGAAGTTAGTTCTTGAACTCTTGTTTGCCATGAATCTTTTCGAACATTTCTGGACGTGCTAGTATTCAGTGAGATTTCGCTTGCATAACCCAAAGATACAGCAACAGAGCTTATGTAGAGAATGGCAATGATAATCTTGTGTGTGCTCACTTACTTTCAAAATCTATCATGTTCCCTCGCCAAAAAAAAAAACTATCAGGGCGTAGTTTCTTAGCGGCATCACTACTTACTTTAGATTATCTTGTTTCTTATCCAGGTATGTAGAAATATTGACAAGCAACCAGAGGGGAGCAGTATACTGGAACGAATTTATGCAGGAGTAAATATATACTACAATTATACTGGTACGGTTGACTGCTTTGATCTAGATGATGATCCTCATGGAATGGGTGGATGGGATTGGCAGGTTTGGAAACTACAAAAAATATCCGTTTTTGTCCGTTTGTATCTCTGTTACATTCATTACTGTACTTGATAAACTATAGTGTATGACATATGTTTTATTCTTGATTAAAACAGGCTTGTACTGAGATGGTGATGCCAATGTCTTCTAGTGAAGGTCTTAGCATGTTTCTACCAGATGAATTCGACTATGCATTGTATGCCGATGACTGTGTCAAAAACTTTGGTGTTAGGCCAAGGCCTCGATGGATCTCTACAGAGTTTGGTGGTCATGTAAGTCCTTTTTACACATTGCTCAGTCTTCGTAATTTGTTGTGAACAACAGAATTTTCTCAACCAACTGACTCAGTAATTCAAGTTATCATGTTTTTTTGAGGAATACCTGTAGGGCTGACGCTGGCACTTTAACAGTTATCACTATTTTAAACCCTGATATGGATGCTGTTCGACAATATATGCCTGTGATAGCTTAAAGCATGGATGCATCAGGACTTTCTTGATAAAAATATTTTCTTCCATTCCTTCAGAACTAAATACTATTATGGTTATCATGTGGCGTTTGGGAGTTGGATTTACTAACAATAAAATGCGTCAGAGATGACAGAGTTGTTATGCTAATTACGCTCTTTATGCTATCCAATTAATTGACCGGTTGCTTTGGTAAGCCTCAGGGTAGCAAGACTGATTGACTGACTAGAAACTTTTCTCCTCTTTTTTGTCAGAATATTAGTTCTGTTCTGGAGAAATTTGGTAGTAATATCATATTCTTCAATGGACTTCTCGATCCTTGGAGTGGTGGAGGGTGAACACACTTACCTTGTTTTCCAATAGCAATAATCTTATCACGTTGACCGCCGTTTTGTCGTCTTGATATTGTTATTCTCTGAATGCTGCAGCGTCCTGAAGAATATATCTGAGAGTGTTGTTGCCATTGTGGCTCCACTAGGTACAGTGCTTTTCCTGTAGAATGAACTCATATCCGGTGGTGTGGGTTTCAAGCTGTCATACCATACATAGTTCATCACTGATGTAAATGTTGGTTTTGCTCTGCAGGAGCGCATCACATAGACCTGCGCCCCGCGACCAAGGAGGACCCGGATTGGCTCGTAAGCCTGAGAGAATCGGAACTCGAGATCATATCTGGCTGGCTATCGGATCACTACGGAGCAAGAGGGGGCGCGCTCTTTCAGCGCGCAACCAACAAGGACTCGGCTGCGTCATAAGGAAACCACACTCCTCCCTTACCATTTGTCCCAAGCATGCAAATGTGGTTTACTCCTTCCCTTGCTTAAGGATTCAGTTCCGACTGGCATGAGATGGCCATCTCAGCGGTTCAAGTCCAGCGATCGTCGCCGGCGCTACACCGTGGAGATGAGGATGGTAACATCGTGGGCTGTTTTCGCTTGGACTGCGCGGTATCAATAATTATGCTTGTATAATTTGTAATGGGCTGGTGCGTTGCTCGGTTTCACAGAGAGCAGACAATGATGTTGTGCATGGCCGGCAAGGCAGGAACTAACGTTAGCAGAATAGAGATCATCAGGAGTTTCTTCAAGAATTGTTTTTTGTACAAAGAGTCAGGAGAAAAAGAAAAAGTGGAACAGCTGAGATAGCTAACCAGAGACCGAAAAATAAAGAAACATAAACAACCTAAGCCATCAACGAAAAGCCATTGCCCAATGCTCAAATTTTGAATATTTCTCTCTTGGCTCAGTGGATCAGAAGGATAATTTCCTGCTTGAACTTTTCTCTGCAGGTGTAGAGACTTTTTTCTTCTGCAAGTGTAGAGACTTGATTTTGATAGAAGGAGAATTTTATGTTCGTTTGTGATAGGAACCGAGTCCCTACAAGGCCGTGATCTTAGGTTATAGGGGTGGAAGGGGAGTTGGCGAGGTGAGGGGCGCGTGCGATGGTGCTGAGGCGCCGTGATCGAGCGAGGAAGAGGAGGCGCAGGGGGCGGCTAGGGTTCGGGGGTCTCGGCTCTCGAAGGGAGCCGAGCAATAGAGATTTCTTATTGCTTGTCTCTAAAATGAGTTCTTACATGTGCTTATATAATCTTCGTACGTGCTAATAAAAATAATGATAAGTTGGGCCAAAAGCCCCTAACTACCTGCGCCATTGGGCCTCCTCCGGCTATAGTGTACGCCAGCCATAACATCTCTCCCCGCCTGCGCAAACAGCTCGTCCTCGAGCTGGAAGTCGGGTAAGTGCTTGCGGAACCCCTCGAGGTGCTCCCAAGTGGCGTCCTCCTCCGGAAGACCGTGCCACTAGATCGACAGGCGCCGAACACCGCAGCTCTGTTGGGCCTTCAACACCTTCTCTGGACCCGGAAGGAGATGGCCCTCGGAGGTCGGATGAAGAGCCGGCGCGGCCGCCGGCGGTTCGCTGCGGAAAGGCTTCAACAAGCCCACATGGGAGACGTCGTGGATGCGGGCGCCAGGCGGCAGCTGAAGTCGGTAGGCGACGTTGCCAATGCACTCCAACACCGGAAATGGCCCTGCGTAGCGAGGGCCCAGCTTGCGCTTGGCTCGAGGGTCCAGGGATTGCGTGGTGTGGTGGAGGAGCCGCAGCCACAACCAGTCGCCCACCGCAAACTCCGCCTTGCGGTGGTGGGCTTCGTAGTATTTTTGGACAGCTGCTGGGCCTGGAGAAGATGTTGGCGCACCTCGGCAAGGATCTCATCCCTGTCGCGGAGAAGGTCGCTTGCCGCCTCAGTCCAGGCCGTCCCCGGTTGAAATGGCAGGATGGGTGGTGGAGGATGACCGTAGACCACCTCAAAGGGTGTGGCACGCGGGGCGGAGTGGTAGGAGGTGTTGTAGCAGTACTCCGCCCAAGCGAGGCAGTCCACCCAGGCACATGGGCGATCACCTGTAACACAACGTAAGTACACAGCGATCACCTTGTTGACCACCTCGGATTGGCCGTCGGTCTCTGGGTGGAAGGCCGTACTCAGGCGCAATTTTACGCACGCCATCCGAAAAAGATCGCGCCAGACATGGGCCGTGAACACCAGATTGATAGGAACCGAGTCCCTACCAGGCCGTGATCTCAGGTTATAGGGGTGAAATGGGAGTTGGCGAGGTGAAGGGCGCCGTGATCGAGCGAGGAAGAGGAGGCGCAAGGACGGCTAGGGTTCTGGGGTCTCGACTCCTGAAGGGAGCCGAGCAATAGAGATTTCTTATTGCTTGTCTCTAAAACGATCCTTACGTGTGCTTATGTAATCTTTCTATGTGCTAATAAAAATAATGATAAGTTGGACCAAACGCCTCTAATTGCCTGCGCCATTTGACCTCCTCCAGCTATAGTGTATGCCGGTCATAGCAGTTTGTTCTGTAAATACTTGGTTCAATTTGTCAATAAAGTATACGTTCCTTACTTAATCTACTCACTTGAGTGTCTCTCAACCGAAATACCAAGAGAGGTGTGTGACTGTGAGTCATCAGCTTGTGTTCGCATGATCACATCTTGTGCACCAGTGCAGTTTCCTCCTCTCTACGCTATGTATCTTAGTCGTTTGACTCGGGAAGTCCTGAGATATCTTTCTGCTCGTACATAACAAGTTGGATCTACCAAAAAAATGTGTTGAATTTGGCCGAATATGCTCTATATGCTCGATTTGCTTTATGTGTTGATCATTTGGCCGGATATGTAGCTTGTTCGTCATGTCTTTTTTTGCTAACGTGTGTGCACAATGTTCTTCAAAGATGAAGAAGAACAATCACTTTTTCTTCATTTATTGTTAGTTGAAGTTAAATGCGCTACGATGGTTTCCGGTTCTTGGAGGGCCGTTTTGAAGGACTCGAGGGCTACGCTGTAGGCCGGATGACTGAGAGTCGTCGCGGCAAGCTCTACATCGACGACGCAGGCTGGGGCCCCGAGGCCGGCTCAATTTAGTACGGGTACCGGTCCCCTTTGGTAGCATTCACGTTTTCATTGGCAAGATCGGTGAACCGGGCCCTGAGCCGGACATCTGCACCGACCTCGTCGAGACGGCTCAGCGTGCGTGATCCGCCCGGGTTAAACCGGCCATGAAGCGTGCCTTCATGGGAGTGATCCATGGAGGGAGTTATGAGGACGGACCGGAGCTTCGCGGGGCGACCGCCGTTTGTTCCGGTGACGAATCTTCGACCGGAGAAACCGAATCTCTTTATCAGCTACAAGATGGCCGGATTGAGAGTTGTTCCGATGGCGACAGTATTCCGGACCCCTCTGATCTGCCTAACCGGGTTGGAGTATTCATGACCGGAACACAAGCAGCGCTTCATTCTTTGACAGCCGCGGCAACGATCTCCGATTCAGCAGCGGCAACGGCTGCCGGGGCAGGAGGCCCTGTGCGCCCATCGGCTCAGGTTCTATCAGAACTATTTGATGCGTTGGCTGTGCTTATGGCAGAAGTTAATCCGCCAGATCAGGACGCTCACAACACGGAGATTGCAAAGGTAAAGGAACAAATCACCCAGGCCAAGACGGATCTGGCGGCTGAGGACACCAGGATGGCCGCAGAGCGGGCCGCTTTAGACGCACAGGCCTACAGGCTTATGTTGGACCAGAGCGCGTCGCATGAAGTCATGAGGAGGAAGCACCGATCCCGCTTACCTCCGATTTTCGAGGCCAAAGACCTTTTCAACACTCCAGGGCCAAGAGCCAGCAATCCGCTGGAGGGAAACCGGGCAGAAGCCCCTGGGACCGGTGCACCGGTTCAGCCCCGTCAGATGGACCCGCCTCGTCAAAATACTGTTATGCCTCAGGATGCTTTAACACCTCCGGGTCACTACTCCAACCCAATGGACAATCTTGTTGCCGCTGCTGCACGATTGGAGGCCATTCCAGTTGAAGGTGACTCGCCGCAGGCAGTAGAGACGCGACGGGTTAAGGAGCTTTTGAGGACAGCTTTGGCCCAACAGGAAGCATACTCGTACAGCCGCGACCGGATCCACTCGACCCCCCGTCCAAGCCGGAGCTATAGCAGACATATGGATGAACCAGCAGTGTCAAGTAATGAACGACGTGGAGCACCCTGTGGTAACAACCCGACGGGTGGTGCTGATGACGCTCAGGAAGTGGTGAACCGGGCCCGAGCGCGCAGGGAGGCCGAGTTAGCGGCACAGCATCAGGCTCGGCAGCTCACACCGGTTCGTCCAACCATCTCGATCGAACCTGGTGTTACTTCTAGTTCTTTGGGGGTGCCTTGCCTCATCCTCGCTTTACGCAACGTGCGCCTGCCCAAGGATTTCAAAGGCCCACGCAAGGTACCAAATTATACGGCGGATCAACCACCAAAGACATGGGTAGAGAGTTATGAGATGGCCATGGAGATGCTTGATGTGGATGACACGGCGTGTGCGAAATACTTCACCATGATGCTTGAAGGAACAGCCCGTACTTGGTTAAAAAGCTTGCCAGCTAATTCTATCAGTTCATGGGCCCAATTACGAGCCTGGTTTATCAACAATTTCAAGGATACCTGTAAACAGCCTATGTTGATAGTGGACTTAGCTGCATGCGTCCAGGAGGAAGGAGAATCAACGACTCATTGGGTGCGCCGGGTTTCACAGGTGTTGCACTCCTCAGACCGCATCAACGCTGACACCGCAATATTAACCCTAGAAGGCAACTGCCGGTTTGGGCCCCTGAAGTTGAAATTGGGACGGATGAAGCGTCATTGCACCGACATGGGGACCCTCATGGCCGCTTTGGTAAAATATGCTGATTCTGATAGTACGAAGGATCCCGAATCTGATGATGACAAGACAGGGAAGGGGAAGAAGAACAGCAGCTCAAAAGGTCAGCAGCATCACTGGGTAGGCAATGGCGGAGGAGGCAAGCATAAAGCGGATGGTAACATAGATTTTGTGGCTAATACCAACGCACGGGACAATGGCCAGCGGCGCAAGGGTAGGCCGAAAAATCATAGTGGAGCACCCAACCCTAACCCAAACCGCCTGAACTATCTGCTAAGCCAGCCCTGTCCAAGACATGGGACGAAGGAGGAGCCAGCAAACCACCTTTGGAAGGATTGCTTTATTATGCAGGAGTTCAAGAATTCTAATAATTTCCGGTATGATCACGGATCTGGCGGTGGCTCGGGGTCCGGGCCGGGTTACGGTGGAGGAGGTTCCGGTTTAAGATTTAATGGTAATCCGGGCGGACATAATGGTCAAAATAGTCAGAACAACCAGGATGGTTACAACCAACAGCAGCAACAGTCAGGTTACCAGAGCAA